TAGACCTGGTGGCCATTCCTCTTCATTCGTGGATTTATCAAAACTGGAACAGTTGCCATGTCAGAGTAATTACATTTTGGACTGAGCAGAAAGACACACTTACACTTTGACAAAGGTGTAAGACAGGTGTCCCTTTAATGCAGATTTTCACTGTTTTACTCCATTTCTGGTCTCATTTCCTTCCTTCGCTGTGTCCTCGGGGAACCCCTGCAAGTTTCTGAAGGGAATGGAAGTCCCCACCTCTGCCACCCACAGGGCCACCCACGCCGGCTGGGGCTTTTCCTCGTGTGTGTCTGCCTAGTATGTCAGGCTCATGTCCCTTCCCTAGTTTAATGTGTTGCCTTTTTTGCTTGATATATTGTGACAATTTTCCTTATTTAAACTTTTTGAAAATTGTATTAGTACATAACCTTCCAGAGGTAACATTATTACAAAAATGTTTGTTCTGAAAATGTCACAGTCCACTTGAGATCATGGGAGCGGGACACGAATTCGTGGCCCCTCAGAGACGTAGATCTCAGTTGGTGGCCTCCTGCCTCTGAGTAGGTTCCCTTCACCTCTTCCTCACCCTGCCTCTCGGCCAGAGGTCGGAGGGTTCCAGCAGCTGCTTGGCGGCCATAATGCAGAAGCTACTCAGCGTTCGCTGTCCTTCCCTTTTCTGTTTCTTGTACAGCTAAGTTTTTCCCCCAAGTGAGAGAAATCCTGAGCAATCTATTAGTACTAAAAGGTACTATTTATTCCGAGTGACGAGTGCACGCCCTTCAGATGCGATAGTCGAGATTGCTTCCTGCGGGGTGTTCTCGGGGGCCCCAGATGGCTGGCCTCTGTCTTCCTCTCAGCGACGTGGCCGACTAAGAATCAGCTGTTAGTATGAGGGCCGCAGAAAACTTCCCGAAGCCGCCGAGCCCAGTCCCTGATTCCAGGCAGCTCCGAGTCCATCCAAACCCCGCAGCGGCTTCTGCGCTCCCGGGCCGGGCTGCGTGCATCTCCACCCGACGCGATTTTATCTTTCCTGTGTTCTCTCTGTCATTAGGGTCCTGGGGAGCCTTCTCTCCGCCCACAGAATAATAACCGACTCCAAGCAGCCCTTCGGCGACATGACGATTGAGGACTACGATAACGAGCTGCTGCACATGGCTCACGACCTGGCCGTGCGGCTCCTCCCCGCCTTTGAGAACACCAGGACAGGCATTCCCTATCCGCGGGTAGGCCGAGCGGCCTCGCAGTCGCTGGCGTCCGGGTTTGGGGGAAGGAGTGGGGCTGAAGGGCTTTGGGGCGGTGAGGAAAGCCGTGTCCTCGAGAGTATTTGGCCCTGAATGTGATGTAAATGTTTTTTAACTCAGTACCTACTGAGCACTTCCTGTGTGCCGGGCATTCAGTGACACAGTTGCTTGAATCCTTCCCCTTAAGGAAAGAGCTCTGTCCCCGTGCTCAGTGTTCCTGAGTCCCTTCACGTGTGGACCTTAGACTCCCCGCTACGAGACGGCGCGGTGGTCTGTCCTTATTTCTGACTTGGGTGCATTCCCCCAAGGACCCTCCGGGCCTTGTAAGAGCTCAGTGACTTTTCTCATTGCTTCCTGTGGATCTTCCGGATAAAGCCCGCACTGACAGGCACATTAGCTGCTGATTTAAATGCAAGGTCTGGAGTAAAATTACGTTCTTGCGACATTGGATTTGAGCCTAGAACTCCCCTGGGAATTGAGTCAGCCTTTTAGGTATCAGCAGACACTTGCCAGGCCACAGCGCCAGAGTGATGGAACAGCCTGTCACGTCCTCGCTCTGTTCTGCTTTCCCGGACTGAGATTTGTGTATGTTCGCTGAGCAGGACCGAGTCCCTAGTAGCTCACTCAAAAATGTGTAAGTGATTCCACAGCTGGCCCCTTGTCTCTCCTGCCAAAGGCCGGTGCTGCGTGACCGCAAAGAGAACCTGCTGGAAAGAGGTGGACTCGCGAATAGCCCTATGATGGTTCCCCTAAGACACGCTTTTACTTATGAGATGAGGCTCCGATGGTCTCTCTGCCCTACCTGTGGCTTTGAAATGCCCGTCTTCACCCTGGGTGTAAAGCAGGAGGCGGGAGCTGACTCACGCTGCCGTGAACGCGGTTCCCTAGCTCCACGTAGTAGCTGGCACCTTGCCCTGCAGCCCTGCGGGTCCCTTGGGTTTTGCCATGAACCCTTTGTCTCTTCCTGTCCTCAGGTGAATCTAAAGACAGGCGTTCCTCCCGACAGCAATAATGAGACCTGCACGGCAGGAGCCGGCTCCCTCCTAGTGGAGTTTGGGATTCTGAGCCGACTGCTGGGGGACTCCACGTTTGAGTGGGTGGCCAGACGAGCTGTGAAAGCCCTTTGGAGCCTCCGGAGCAACGACACAGGATTATTAGGTGTGGTGGCGCCTCGCCCTCGGGACTGGATCTGCCCGGCCCCCGTCCTTCTGTCTTCTGGGGGGGCATTCCCGCCTCTCCGAGTCTCCTTTCTTATAGGCCACTTCTGAAAACTGACAGCTCAGAGGGCGGCCCTCCGTGCAGGCCGTGTCCAGTTTCTTCCTGTGACTTCCACGTAGAGGGAGGCATAGGGCTCGTTGGGGAGAGGCACGCTTCTACTCTTCCAGGCCGCCTGATTAGAGTCCCCCAAGTTATGTCCCATCCAGACGTAATGGCTAATAAAAGAAGCTGCCTCTGAGGCAGATTGCCTTGCTTTATATCAGGCTCTAAACAGAGGGACTCATTGTCACTGGCAGAGTGCTTTTCTCCTTTTAAAAAACTTGGCACACGGCAACGCAGGTGACCCTCCAACAACACGGGTTTGAACTGTTGCGGATCTTTTTTTCCATAAATTCTGTAAATATGTTTTTCCTTTCTCGTGACTCAACATTTTTTTCTTGAGCTTACTTTATTGTAAGAATACAATATATAATACGTATCACATGCCGAATATGTGTAAATTGACTGTTTATGTTATCGGTAAAGACTCCAGTCAACAGTGGGCTGTTCGTAGTTAAGTTTGGGGGCGTCCGAAATTATCTGTGGATTTTCATCGGCAGGGGTATCGGCGCCCCCGACCCCTGCCTCGTTCAGGGATCAACTGTAGATGGAAAACTCAGATTAAACCTACATTAGGTGGGTTTGTTTTTTCCTTGGGAATATTTGGTCCAGATGTTACTTAAAAAATTATGGAAAATTTCAAGTATTTAAAAGTAGGAAGGAAGTACAATGAATAATGAGCCCCGTATACCCACCATTCATCTTCAAGGGTTGTCAGTATTTTGCTAGCTCAGATGTTGTTTGAAAATGAGTTTTTACTTCATAGAACTGTGTGTGTGGCATTGAGAAATATTTTCTTTGTGTCACTGGGCAGTAACTGGATTGGATGTCCTGAAGTCTTAGTGTCATTGCAAAAGCACCATTTTTTAAAAGTGATTTTTGATTATTCCTTAAGTTCCTAAATTTATTCACAAATTAGTTGTATTTAACAACAGTAAAAATTTTTAAAAAGTCACCAGAATTATCACCCCATCATCACTAAATGCTTGACCGGTGTCGCTCCAAATCTTCAACTTTTAAGTTTTCCACAGGCTCTTTCAGCCTGGTGTATGCAGCTTTTACATACTTACAAATTATAGTATAAACAAACGTTTTTATTCTGCTTTACATCGGGCAACCATTCAGGTGTTTTCATATTTATCGTCTTTAAAATCTTC